CATCACCTGCTAGTACCCAGCGCCCAGACGGTAAGTGACGAGTGACTCTCCATGACATGACCTGTGTGTGTGTCATTCCAGGTCTGCACAGCACATGAAAAGGGCAGACTTCCAAAGGACTTTCTTTGAGAGAGTATGGATTTTCTTATTTTTGTAGGCATGGAAACGATGCTAGCTAATGGTTCCTGTATATTGCTATTCAGACTTCCCGGTCTCAAAACGATTCCTAAAAGTGATGCTGGGGGAATAAGCATTAGGTTATCATAATTCTCACCCTGCTAGGCACAGAGTACACACAGTTCAAGATAAAGCCAACGCGGCCCCTGCCCTGTAGGAGCTTACAGAATCTTGGTGGAAATCAGCATTCAACAAACACAAATAATGGCCAATCCAAGAGGCGCTATGGAGGGAAGGGGAAGGCAACACAGACGCACAGGACGTGGGTGGTAGAGGGCCCGAGGGAGACTGCATTGGACCCGGACTGATATACTGTCCACTACGAACAAACACCTAAGTGTGATGTCAAAGTAAAAAACAAGATGTACTTCTGCTTCCATGAGATCCAAGTAGCCATTTTTTTAAAGAACAGACAAAGGATTTCATGCCTTTTTTTTTGCTTCTATCCTTTCTATTTTGACTTTAGATAAGGAAAATTTAAAGGGGCCAAAAGTTGTAGAATTAAGTCACTTCTAATTCTGTCTGCATCGAAAATAAAACTAATCAAAAGAAAAACAAGCAGATCATAAATGTGTAATTCATTTCAGAACCAACTACAATGTCTAATTTCAATGACTCAAAAACGAAGTGTATGAGCAAATCAAACTTCATATAGGAAAGCTCCATTTTCTATGGAGTTTCAAAGTTTCTGGAATTTAACTAAAGTATCTGAGATTAAGCCTAATTCTTAAATCCCATTGGTTTTAAGATCTCAACATCAAATAACTTTATCAGCATAGTCCTATTTGATTACTTGCTGAGAAAGAAAAAGAATGCAGTTGAGGTTAGAGCCTTGGACTTCACTAGAGAAAACAAGATATGGGCTGGGACATTCAGTTGCATAATTCTGTATAAAGACTTCAAGGCATCTTTCTGATTTTCAGTAAATCACTAATTCTCACTGCCTTTTAAATGAAGTATTTATGCAGTATATTTCTATGTTTTGAATAATCAAATGAAGGCAAGAAGTCGAAAAGCTCTTTCAAGGTCAGTGGCAATACCAGTTTTTGAACACGTCTTTAAAATACGGTATATTCCTATAGAACATTCTAGGAAATCATCAAACCTAGCTAGACAGTACATCACCTGGGGAACTGTCAGAAAAGCAAAGGCCCAACTAACTCATGAGATCCTAATTTAATTGGTCTCAGATAGGGCCCAGCTTTCCATATAGTGTACACACACACACACACACACATCCCACACACATAACTTGCCCAGGAGATACTAATAATGAAACGATTGCTTTAGATCTGGACTATATCCCAAAAAGAAAAGACAAACAATTCCTGATAATCAATCCTGAATTTTCATTTAAGGAGAAAACTTCTGCCTTAATAACAATCATTTGTGTTGACATCATCATTCCATTCAAAAACAGAAGATCTCAGCAAGATTAAAAAGTTTGCATTTGCCAAACATCCTATTCAAAGCAGCAAAAGAGGCCAAAAGCAAATGACATTTTTTCTTTCCTTTGGTGATCTACAGTGATGCCCATTAGGTATTAGCCATTGGTTATCATTTAAAGGTTGGACTATCTTGCGAAAAACTTCATTTCCGCTCATTTTCATTTCTGTCAGACTTTCCATTATAAATTTTATTTTCTCTGCCAGTAAAAGTAGTATGAGGTTGCAATTTGGCAAGAACAGTTTAAGCCTGGGTGTGATTTCCGTACCCCAATTTGATTTAAATTAGTTTTGCCATATTTAGAGAGGACTAAAAAAAAAGTCCATTTGGCCGCTTTGCTTTTGTCTATTGGTTCATTTTCTACACAGTTTCAAGTCTGAAAAAGTTACCGTGTTTATTTCCGATAATTTTATGTGGAAATGAATTAACGAATTCATATTACTTTTTTTTAATGAAAGCAACTTAATAAGGAACCTGCCAGCTTTTTGGTTTTTGGCTAAAATGCTACTTTTTAAAAAGCCACACGTCTATCACTCTCAGTGCTAAATCCTCAAGAGAGACATAATCGATACGTGTATATATTTTTCTAACCTGATGCATTTTTGAAATACGATACACTTAAAAATAGTAATTTATTTCTCCAGGCCAGCATTTTGCTACCTGTTGCTTGCCACCGCCTTTTCTCTACACCAAACAAAAGGCTATTTGAGGCTGGAATAAGCATGCTCCCATGTAACAGTGCTCATCCCGCTAAGTCCACAGGATACATGGTTATAATATGAGAAAGCTGCTTTTGGAGCTCCTCAGGGCATATCATCTATAGGATTTCCACCCAGCATCTCCCTAATGTAGTAAACAGGAGAAAACAAAAGCTTCCTCTCCAGAAAGCCACTCACCTTAGCACACAGTGGGGAATCATTTCAGCTGTGATCTGCTACTCAGACCTGAAGCCCAAGGTACCCGAGACTTTGCCTTTCTTTCTGGTTTGCATAGCTGGTGTTGGAGACGGGGATTCAAAAGAGCAATTCGGCACAAGAGAAACATTCACTGGAAGAGACACACTATGGTCTGCTCTATTCTCAAATTGCACGGAAAGCGGAAGAAATTCATAGTATGTGCACTGTTCCTCTCCAGCCCCTATTTTCTCAGTCAGGGAATTTCCAAAATTTGGCTCTTTTATTTATCCTTAAGTGCTCGCACTGTTTATGGATACTGCTAAGACCATGCTAAGCACAGACAGAGTCCGTTCCTGCAAGCCTCACGACCACGAAGCAGAAATAAGAATGACAGAAATCGCCACACTCCATCCACAGCTACAGTATGAAGACTTTTTAAGAAAAGCATATGCACCCATACTCCTGTACACCACAGAATTTCCCTGGACATGAATGTCTCAAAAGGAGCCTCCCCGAGGCCCAGAAATTCAGCCATCACACACCAGTCCGTCCACCTCCGCTCCACCCTCTGCCCCCTTCCACTCCTCACCTCGTGTCTGCCAAAAAAATAACTTCAGTTTCTCCCGAGGGAAGTATTTCCCACGAAGCGAGGGAGGGTCTGTGTCCCTGCACATACACAGACAGACTCACGCGGTCTGGATGATGCTTTAACAAGTTAAGGGGCCTCGCGCTTACTCAGCAGAGGAAATCTTTGTGTCTGTGAGGAATCACGCCAATTCCTATTAGTAAGAAAGGATACAGGGGCGAGGAAGCCTATTCTCTCATTGACCAGAAAAAGAGGCCCAGCGAAAACAGAGACCTCTGCCATGACCATCTGCGGAAAGGAAGGATGTTGTCAACTTTCTTCTCCCCAAAACTCTAATGACCTCTGCCTTGACCCTCAGAAACCAGATACACAGGAACCGGCTCATCTGCAGGAATTGGGAGCTTTACACTAGAGACTCGGCACTAAGAGGCTTGTCGCCCGAGCTATCTGCCCCGAACATTTGCACTCACATTCCAAAGATGTTTCCGTTGCGCTGGAATGGCTGTAAATTTCTTTCCTGCAGAATTCTTTCCAAACAAACTGCCATGAACTGTTCTTGCAGCCTGTGCAGTAGGAGTTCTTAACCAGGCACCGGCTCACCTCATCGCAACCAATCTTTTAGATGCCGAATAGGACTGAATTGGTGGCTGGGCCAGAGGAGGCAACTTTAAAAATGCAAATATATCCGGGGGGTGGGGGTGGGGGCGGGCGGGAATAAACCTCCACCAGAATTCCACCTTTAGTGACATATGACTGATACATAAAGGTAGATCCTTCACGGGCTCTATTTAATTGCTGAAACTAGTTGCTTACGTTTTCCAGGATATATTAAACAGGTTGTTTCAACAATTCAAAACTGATTTTTTCCCCCCATGTCACTCAAGAAAATGGGAGGGTGAGAGGGTTCCAGAGAGCGAGCATTCCCTTTCAAGCACAAGAAGAAGGAACATTCTGCTTAAATGAGGAATAAAGCAGTAGAAAGCTTTGACTATTAGAGAGGATTATTAAATTTTATCTAGAGTTTTCCAAAGTAAGAAACCAAATGCGCTTACAAAAAAGAAAGTCGGGATCCCAAACAAAACAAAAGATTTCAAACATATGATTAATTCTGATATTGAAATTAGAAAGAAAACATCCATAAAAACTCAATTGTCTTAAAGCTTACACTTTGGGCTCTGGCTATTATTTTTAGAACTGGGCTTTCTCTGGGCAGTGAAAAGTATGCAAATGCAGAGTGCACACAGACACAAACACACACATGCTATACCTTTGTATTACACTTGGCATTTTATTATTTAATTAAAGTACTCTTATTTTTCTAGCTCACGCATGCTTCCCTTGAGACGGCTTTGCTGTTAGCCTGCTGGCCTTGACTTCCAGCCAAAAACAATTCAGAAACAAAAAGGGACAACAAATCATATTTTCACAGACATTTTTATCCCTCAATACAACCCTGTTTTCACACAACATCATAGAGCCCCTATGAAAACTATAATTTAGGGCAATAACCGCCCGAACCCAGGGGCTGACACATGGCTGCACGGAGTATTTCCAGTGTAAGAAATTCTTAAGTTCTTAATTGCAAATAAACTCTTTTGACAGAACCACTTTAACCGACATTGCTGGTTTGCAAACAGTGCCACTGGTACCGGCTGATGGATTAAAAAATAAAAACACGCCAGTGAATGTCGTTCCGATGCGGCAGGGATCTAGAGACGAGGTGTTTATTACTTCCAAGCTCTGTGTTATTTCGTTACTTTTCAGAAGAGAGAGGCACCGGCAGACTTTCAGTGCATCTTTGTGCCACAGTCTAAGATGCATCACCTAATTTACAAAACAAACCGATTTACCAGGTTCATTCTCGCAACCCTTCCCCAAGCGAGAGTCTCACTTACCTGGTGACAGCCCTGTAAGTTTGATTCTCTCCCATAAGATGAGTATGAGCCCCTTTCTGTTTTACCTGCCAAGAGAAACAACAAAAAACGTGTAAATTACGTTTTTCCTTTAAAAAAAAAAATCTCCAGGTAACAGACATCCACTTCTCTTCCCCGATGTTTACATACGTAAAGTAGGCACTACTGGCAAATGTATGCAAGCAAGAGAAGGAATAGCACTTCCTCACTTGGGCTATGATAAACTGGAAAAAAAATATCCTTCATTCCTATTCTTAGCCAAACTGCTCCACACTTCCAAAAACTGTCATTCCAATGGCCTCCACTTTCTCTAACAAACAAATTGTCAGCCCTTATTTTCACTTTCTTTCTCTCACAAAATTTAAACAATTTCATTTTTATTTACACAGCAGGCAAATTATCTATGTAATGACCCTAGTCTAGTAATTCCCATTGATTATATTGACACTTAATGGTGAGGCCAAAGCTAATCAATCAAGGCTCTCCAGATGGTGAATATAGCAAAGAAACTACTCAAAATTCTGACTCTCTCTCTCTCTCTTTTTTAAACTCCCTTTCCCAGGGGTACACCCCCATCATGATCGAAATGACGATGGAATTTACATTTGGGAAAGGGGGCTTTTGAAAAATTACCCTCTCTGAACCCAAATTCAGATTCTACCAACTGACCCAGTGGATCAAGGAATAAGGGAGCATCAATGTCTGGTTCTAATTCTAACAACTCAGTTTTTATCTGTAGATGGCTCTACAGAGATGTATAGAGCCTCAGATGCTATTTGGCCACATCTAAGGATAACATCAAGGCTGCTCATTTGTTTATTTTAGAAGTATGTGTAGCCTTAATAATCTGCAAGGGAGACAATGAAACCACATTACAAGATATCTAAGCAGTAGAATTTAGTGACATATGAAGAGTTGCCATAGAAAATTGATCCATATTAGGACATTAAAAAGGACTAGTGACGTGACTCAGTGCCCAGAACATAAGCCCCACCCCAAGAGGGAGGGTTATTTCTCTCTTCAAGAGTAGAGTTTAAGGGTACATAGTACTTTACACCCAGGACTCTACTGTTCTTTTTTCCAAGGGGAAGACGCAACACTAGTATTTTGAGACCCTGAACTGAAATCCTTTTAAAGTTTACAACCCCCAAGTTTTCTTCCCTCAACCCCAGTTAAAATAAATGTTAAAAGTAACAGGAGTCATTTTTAATCTTTCGGTTCAATGGCAATGCTATTAGAGTCTACCTTCCTGACACCACACAAAAGACATATCTTTAATAAATCTTGGAAAAGTATACCTTGGATCTAAGTCACTATATACATAAAATGGAAGATGCTTTTCAAAAAAAGCCAAACCTGAGTCTTAAAATTTCTCTCTCAGTATTAACTTTTCTACTAGCTTCAGTGAATCTCAATCTTAGGAAAGCACTCCCTCACCCCCCCACCCCCATCTCTGGTATAGTGTTCAGGGCAAAGTAGAAAATCAATGTCCATATCAGTTTCAATTCCAATGAAACAGGATACCATCTCATAGACTGTCAGTCATGAAAGATCTAAGAGAATAACTTCCATTGTGTGAGGATTTTACATTAAAGAAAAGACACATTTACCCATTTCCGAAGCATGAGTGGTCATACAGACCTATGTACTCTTCTGTGTAAGTCAAATGTAAACTACTTATACTCTTTAATTTCTCTTTATAAATATTACTAACAGAAGAAGCTTGACCTTTATGAGCTATCAAATGACGTATGTCCTTCCTTATGCTCTTACTTCTAAAAAGCTTCAAGACAACCACCACAGAGTTTACTTTGCTATAATATTCACTTGTTTAACAATCTGAAAAGCAAGTGGAGTAGGGAGGTAGACAGACAGACAGACAGATAGATGGATAAAGGAGAATTTACTCTGACTTCCCAGGATAGTGAACAAACATCTAGTGTCTGTTTGGGTAATTTCTAAAAATTGGATTGGAAAATACAGTGGAAGGAGGAAGGGTTGTCTAATATTTCTCTAGAAGGAATTACTGAAGCTCTCCCCTATAGAATTTCACCACCTGGTATTATTTCCCACCCCAACTCCAGCACAGGGACCTGGTTCCTACCAGGATTCGTCTCAATTCAAACATATAAGCTGGGGCTAGTCCTTCCATTATTTTAAAGGTAGAAGGTCAGTGCAGATAGTAAGGGGGAAGGGGGGGGGGAGGAAGAGAGGGAGGGAAAGAGAAAATGAATGAAGATAAATGGGAGAGAAAGGAGAGGAATAAGGAGAGGGAGAATGAAATGAAAAGAGCAAGGGGGCAGGAAGGAAGGGAGAGAAGGAGGAGGGAGGGATGAGAAGAATATGAATTCACGCGGCACAGAGTCCCCAAAGCACTCCTGGCTACACAGCCCCAGCATTCTTTACTATCATATCAGATACAGACTGCTTAATCTTAATTTTGCTTGTTAAAAAATATTTATCCAGATACAAAAATAAACCCACTGCAAATTACAAGTTGTCAGGGTTAAAAATCTACTCCTGTTTGTGTGGGGGAGGATAAGAGACCAGCATAGACATGAATCATTCTCAGTAATTTGAGTGTTTCCATGACATCAATGGGCACCCGTCCAGGACTCTGTCGAAGTCTGCGAGGTACCAAAGAGGCAGCGCAGCCAGCAGGAGGCTGGGAGGTGCACTTTTTTTTTAAATTTTTTTATTTTTTTTAGGATTATGCTCCTTGTAAAGATTTCATCTGTAGCATCCACTCTTACCATCAAATAGATCGCTCCAGAGATCATGAGTGAACACATTTCATTGTGAGAGTGTTAAGCCTTTAACTTTATTACATCTTTTTGTTCCCAAATTCAACTATAAATCTGCCCTCAGAGCCCAAACCCCGGTTTGGGAGCAAAATAATCAGGGGCTGTGGGAAAACCCAAGTACCTTCTCAAACATACTATATCCGTCCCTATCATTTGCTAATGACAAACAGCAGCCATTTTACAGTGACATCTCAGTTTCTAAACAATATATATATGTGTGTGTGTGTGTGTGTATATATATATCTTTTGTGTAAACTGCCCATTAAAAATTAGCTATGGTTTTGATGTTGATTTTCTGCTTAAAATTCACTGGAACATTTGTTTCAGATAATAAAATTTTCAAGAGCAATGATAACATGTTTGAGTAGGATTCTTAAGTGACTATCCGTGCTCATGAACACAAAAGCCCCTAACTATGTGCATTTACTCTATGTCAGGCATGGATTTTTGTCACTTATACCTACTGACTGGAGCGGACAGCTTCTCTCCTCCTTTCTCCATCGGCACCCACCTCCCCCCATCCCCACAACCACAATGAAGCTTTGAAAGAGCTAAAGTTCTATTTTCCCAATATTTAAAAGAGGTAGCAGTGATGAACAAACCCGGCGCGCTCACTGCGGAATTTTCGAGACAACCCTCTAGTACGACGATGCGACAGCCGCTGCGGATATTTTTTGGCACAAAGACAATGGTGGCAGTGCCAAGCCCCATGGCTAAAACTACTCAAAAGAGGCATAAGGGTAGCATTAATCGCTCAAGTCTTTTACTGCATGGAGTACCGTTGTCCATATTTTAGAAACTAAAAGTACCCGTTAGTAGCATTTGTTGTATGCCCATAAAGGGGTGGGGGTGGGGGTGGGGATTCTGAAATATATACCAGGAACCGATCTTGTCAGGCATTTGATTCATTTTTAGACCTAAAAGGACCAAATGTTAAATTTTGCTGCTGGTGATGATTTGCCTCACATGAAACGAATGATATGACCTAATGGAGTACACTGAAGGCTGAATGAAAGCTATACAGAGGATTTCATAAACTAAGTCGACATATTGGCTAAACAACTTTCTTCTGCAAAAACGATGTATACAAGGAACATGTAATACTATGTCACAATTTTTTAAATTAAGCAAGAAAAACGCTGTAAATGAGCAGACACAACATCCGTCAATCAATCCTTCTGGAGACAAAGGAGATCAACACGCAGCCCCTTCTCCAGAACAAGTCGGCATCTACAGTGAGCAAACAATCCAGAAAGGCAACATGTGTTTTGACCAAATTGAACCCATCAGCTGCTAAAACCTATATTTAAATGTGACTAGTAAAAATGGCAGCAACTGATAATCAATAAAGGATTCCCTGGCTTCTGTTGCCCTTGAAACACTAACCTAAGCAGAAAATATAAGCTGTTTCCAATTTTTTTAAAGGCCAGTATTTTTGTTCATCTATTCAGTAAATCCTTTATCTTGCTGCCCCGCGAAGATAAGGGGAAAAAATGTTTTTTGTTTAGGGGCAGTATTGTTAACAAATGTCTATATAATTCCAAAGGTAATACTTTTATATTCTTACATCATTTTCCATTTGACTTCTAACTTTTTTCTTTCAATATATCCATGGTATCCTATTATACGGGAACGCCAAGGGAACTGGATGAGAATGAAAAGCTTACTTGAAGAACAAATGATCTCATAAGTCCATTTATGCACAAGGATACATCCAAGAAGTATCACCTTTGGTAGATTATTACCCCTGGACAATTCTAATCCACATGGAAACAGACAAGAACAACTTAGTGATAATATGATTTCTGGAGATAAGCTGTGGTTGACCCGTAGGCTAATAACAAGGTCATGTTTGGGTTTCTAGCCTTTCATTCTTAAAAGGTCACTTTAAAAATTGTATATAAATGGTAGGTATTTCACCCACCACTGAAAAAGATGCACCTATATCAGTGGAACATATCATCCCATGAAAAGCCTTAACAAAAAATTATCTGATGCTTCAGGACAAGCCAAGCAAGGCTGTTTCGCTGCTAATCCTCATTCTGGGAACTGAAGAATGAGCCTTTTGTTCCCTGGCATCAGACTAAGGAACTCATCATAACCATGTTCGGATCAGAATAAATCTCTGTCCCCAACCCCAACCCATCCTCGGTTACCCCGATTTCTTGTCTTGTCTTTTCTTTTTTTGCATATTGAAAAGACTATTTCACTAAACAATGACTAAAATGTTTGGTGGCTCTGAA